CCCACAGAATGCCATGAATAAAAATCTATGAAATAGAAGAAGTTGGCCACACAAAAAAAAAAAAAATGTAACGAATCAGTGTTCAATTTGAAAAGAAGGTTGTCAATGATGATTTTTAGATTGTTTAAATTGTCATTAGAACACATATATCTATCTATGAATCATACATATATGTTGTGGTTTCTCTTTTGCTACCCTGCAAATCTCGTAATACATATCTAATGGACAACATATATATCTATGTATAGAATAGTCATCATCTCCCTGCTTTTCTTTGCCGTCAATCTCCCAAACTCCCCCTCCCTCCTCCCATTAAAATAATTAACATGCTGATGTATATATCTTCTTTCGTGTATTTTATTTATCTCATCACATCATTCATTATATAGACAAATAGACAGATATCTTTAAACAAAAGTGGGAAGAGAAGGCTACATATAAGATATTGCAGTTTGAACATATGAAAGATAATAAAAGTGAGTTAGTATATACATCGAGTTCGAGGAAATGGAAGGATTGTGGGGTGGTGTGGTGGTGTGATGTTGTGGGTTTCATCGTCTGGAGCTGTATGACAAAGGAAAAGTAGTCAGGAAGTGGGAGGGTCACACACAGAGGCCTTCCTCATGGAAATGTGAGTGCCCCTCAAACAAGGAAAAAATGAAGAGATCCCCGGGAAGAAGTATCCGGTTTTCCGTCTATATAGTGGTCATGGTAGGTTAGCCAGTGCGGTGCGTCATTCATCGTGTGTTAAAATGGAAAATACGAAATGGAATACAACTGAAGGAAAGAAAACCAGAAAGGAGCCCATGTAATAAATAACACCATCCTTGCGTACTTTATGTATTGACGTGTGCTCCTTTGCAGCGTCAGCGCTTTGTTGTGCACATTTCCCGAATAACCGCTAAAAAAACAAGTTCAAGTAAAGAAAAGGCAAGAAGATTAAAGGACAGAAGAATGAGGAAAGGAAGAACATTCTATGTAACGCGATGCGTGGGTATACAAAAGAAGTAAGATAAGGGGGGAAAGAATAAAAAAGTGTGAGAAAGATTCAAGGTAGACCAAACAAATGGCAAGTTGGAGAGGAAAAATAAGACTGGTAATGAAGCGGCTCAGTTTCAATGGCGCATGTACATGGTGGGTGTGAAATGCAACACAGGTGATCAGGATTGATACGTTTCGGCGCTCGTGTCGTTATTTTGGTGGCCCGGTGTCGTTGGCGGTTTTTTATCAGCTCCATCATTGTTATCATCACCATTGTCTCCACCCCCACTGTCATCATTGGGAACTACAGTTATCTGTGAATTGATCGAGGCAGACCTCATGCGTGACGTCAACGGGAGTTGGTACTTGACGACACCGCGCACGATCAGTTCAAAGGGATTCTGCAAGACTCGTTCCCAACGAGCAGTTCCGCCTTCTTCGGTTTTGTTTCCCGGCTTTGCAAGCCTTACTTCCCCGATTGAGGACGATGGATCGTGCCTCCATGGCGAAGATTCGAAGGTAAGAGGAGAATCGAAATGGAAAATGCGGCCGAGGAGCATAGTCTGTGGGTCTCCAACAGGGTCTTCGGGCGGATCCGCGAAGATAGGATCTGTGCCTCTGTCAATGCCACCGGTAGCGTGTGTAGTATCGCTTATCGATGCAGCATTCTGCTTTACCGCACTAGTCAAGCGGGCCCGTGTTCTACTATCTTTCGTCCGTGGAACAACCATATGTGGATGAGAAACAGAACCGTGCAGGAGTGACTCGCTGCCAAGGTATCTGCTCTTTGCAAATATATTAACATCCATATTATTGACTGTAAGCGTCATGAGATTGGAGTTGATCGCTTGAACCTCGAGGCCAAACATAATCTGTTGTTCCGAGGCTAAAACGTTCCGGATCTTCTTGACGTGCACGCCCGTAAGCGGTTTCATCAACCCAACCACAGCCGTTGTCGCTCCTCCAGCCAGGAGGAATAGGAAAATCAAGAGAAGAATACAAAGCCCATGTCGTGGCAGCCAGCTTCTTTGTCGTTGCTCCATATACTCCATCTGACGAAGACTTGCACTGTTGGGACGGCGGGCGTGACGGGAGCGGGTCACACGAACAGACCCAACAAGCGGCGTTCGTTCATCATCGGCACCTTCGCCATCGAAATCATAACCATATGTATCGCCATTCTTTTTAGGGTTGCCAGTCATACGATAGCTATGAGACCCACGGCTTTGTTTACTCCCGTTGATGAAGCTATGTCTCGATGGCTTCTGACTCTGGGAAACAAGAAATGGGGACTGATCGAGGACTGATGGGTGACCACTTCTCCCATGTCGGCCGATGTGGGAATGCCGCGTCGTATGGATATGTCCGTTGGGTCTTCCATTCCCCCTTCCACTAGACTGGTCTCCATTGCCATCTAGCGCCCCATACCCGGCATTTGTAAACTTCATACTTCTCTTTCCAGTAACGGTGTGGTCCCTCAGGCCTAATCGGGGCCGAACTCCGTATTGATCAGCTTGGCTAGCCATTGAGGTAGAACTGGGGGTTCGTGAATGATATCGAAGTGGATGAGCAGGGCGGGAGTCCGGAGGGTTTGATTCGTATATAAATGTTTCCGCAGAATCTGAAGAATCTGCCTCATCCACAGCGCTAGCAACTTTGGCCTCAAATATATCGGCCTTGGACGAAACTGTGCAAAAATTATGGTCAGTTAAAAAGGCAGAAATTGATACTCGATTGAATACGGGCTGTCACAAACCTGTACCAGCAGGAAGTGCTGTTGGCCGGCGGACCGGTTTCTTTTTTTCCTTTTTCGGTCGAATAGTTTCGTCGCTCGCTTTCAACCTGACGCTACCACTAGTATCCGTTCTCACGGCAGCGCTACGCTCACCTGCACCACCACCTAGAGATACTTGTGGTATAGAGCTAACTGTTTCTGCCTCAATAATCATATTTCTCGCAGGGGTGTCGCCAAGCTTCCCTCGAGTTGAACTCAGTGAACTAAATGAGCGCTTTGAAATAATATCCCCCGGTCTTGCGTTAGCAGGCGATATCCTCGGTTTGCCCCTGTTCCCACCGCTATCGCTTCCACTTTCCACACCAGTTTTTGCAACAAATGGGGCAGATTCTTCCACATTCTCCTCCCGGTTACCGGGAACTGGTGGCTCTAGTAAAGCGCCAGCTTCTTGTACTGTTTCCAAAATCGATCCGGCCCCGCTGCTACCTCTATTCAAAGCGACCCGTGCGTTTTGGCGATTGTATTTATCATCCGCTTCCTCTTCCGGCGTATTAGCACACTGGGCAACTTCGGACAGTGC